CAGCTCTCCCTCTTGAAATGCTTTCATATGGCCATGTGGATACAACCACTTCCAGAAAAGTCTTATTCACTGCCTTTTCGTGGCGGGGATGTTGCTTACGAAACTGAGAGGACGAAATGCGAATGTCTGGCGCTTTAAATCGGCCTGGTGGATACGGAGGATCCACATTAAGGAATTGAAAGACCCTGATTCTAAACCAATGGTGCACATGGGCTCAAGGATCCTGAGAGATCAAAAGGCGTGTGAACATATTGTTGACCACCGGCTACTATGAGAGTTCATCTCCTTACGTCGCTCCACTGCCTTGTGGATTAGACCTTAAGGTCAAAGGCTCGGGACGTGACCCTTACGAAAACCACTTGCTTCGGTCTGGGCACCTGGGCAATATCATAGCCCATACACAAATCGAGTGATTTGTGAGGCGCATATCTATCTGGTGCCTACTTCTATCAAAGTTTATGTGTTTATATAAACAAATAAATAATGGAATATATAATGAACATTAAAAATAGTATGAGATTGAGTAAAATCACTTTTAACAAATAAACCAAAAAACAATTCAAATATTCTTATTAAAATCTTGATAGATTCATGAAATAGTTACAAGATAGTTCTTTTTTGAATGAATTATTTGGTCTTTGTATTTCTATCAATTTTACACATACTTAGTATAATTCCTATTTTCTATTGAATTCATTGAACATATGATCGTTTTGATATGATTGTCAATTATTAATTTGTGTCCAAAAGTAGTTATCTCGTTATTTATACTAACACCATAGAAATATACTTTGTTTTAATACTGTCTACAACATGTTAAAAAACAAAAATGAAAATAATTAAATTTAAAAAAGAAATAACTTTTAATGAACTTCAGTAAATTAAAGTACAGATTTTAAACATAATAATTACATAAGAACTTTCGTTTAAATTTGTTCGAATAGTTTAACAGTATTCAGGCACCAAGTTAATGTGACACATTAAAAAGGAGATATCTCTTTGAAAAAGCTTGGACTAGATTACCAGAATAAACGTTGGATTTACTTCAAATTCATTGGCTGAGATTTTACCAATACAATCTTCCTCTATAATAATTACAGTTAACTTTATTCTTTAGTGTATATATTCAAATGTAATTGTATGAAAATACTAATACGTTATACTGTAACATTAATTCTTTTTCAACACAAACATTTTCTATAGTTGAAGCAGTTGCTGATTATTGTCATTTATATAATAAGATCCAAATGTGTTAAGTTTCGTCTTGCTATACGTGATAATGCTACCTTTTGTTCTTAATGAATTATCAGTATTTTTTTAATTCAATACAATTCAGATAATAATTTAAAAGGTACCATACTAACTACATAACCACTAACATAACTATTGCGCTATTAATGAATAATATTCCATCTCAGTTCGCATTATTTACACTAAATATGTTTATTGACTGTGTTTCTCATGAAACTCAAGCATTTCTACCTAGAATTACAGCTAAACAAACAACATAGTGTAACACGAATACAGTTACTACTCAAAATATCAAACAATTTGCTCGCCTAAACTAATAAGTATTTGTAGAAATGCTTGTCTTATTTATTTATACAATGAAATTTGGAAAACTGAGTAAACGACTCAAAAGTTTTGTTATTCCTCAGTTTTTAGCTTAATTAAATTAGTGTGAGCACGATACATAAATATTATTATCTTTCATGCTTTCTTCCACAATTATATAAAAATAAAATATTTAATAGTTGAATTCATGAATCGATATAAGCTAAATCACCGTTGAAAACATAGAAGCACTGGAAGACCGTTTTGTTCCAGTATGAGACTCCCCAGCAGTGCGCATCCACGATCCCGCCCGCGAGACTCCAACCCAGGACCTGAGGAATTCTATACCAAGACGAAACGGACGTTCAGTGCTTCCAGGCCTTTCATGGCGATCGAGTTTTAACCAACTAATGAATTCAACTATAAAATTACCACAATCCTCACAAAATCTCCGTCCTAATAACAAAATATTTTTTATTTTGATAAATTAATTAAATCAGAAAGAAAGCAGAAATAATTATGATAGAATAATAACACAATTTCAGTCTCATCTTAGGTTTTCACAATAACAGGAAAGGAGAAATCTTTTACTCACAGAATTCAAGTTATCAAATACAAATTTATAATATCTATTTTAAATAAATCTATTACTTGTATTTAAGAAAAAAGTAATGCTAATCATTTCTCACATAGTTTTTGTATTTATTCTAAGAAATTAGTTTATTTTTTTCCTTCAATGAAATCTGATATTACCACATTAATTATTTAATCAAAACTTGTTTTTAAAATCGTATTCCTAATGTTATAATGTGATGAGGATGTTTGTTAGCAAAAGGAGATTTCGTGGAGATTTAAGTAATATTATAGCTAAATTCATGAGTAAATTGAAGCTAGAACATCATGGAAAACCTGGGAGAACTGGACGGCTGTTTCGTCCTAGTATGAGACTCTTCAGCAAGGCACATCCATGATCCCGCCCTACTTCGATTGACTCATGAATTTGACTATAGAATCACTAGAATATCCACAAAACCCCTTCTGATATTAATAATTGTTTGTTCACTAGTGACTGGCTTCAAGGGGTATTTCCTGAAGTTCTAGAGAGGAGCAGTGACCAGTGGAGTTCAACCGGGTCTATTTGAGATATTAACTCATATAATCGTGGAAGAAAGCATGAAAGATAATAATATTTATGTATCGTGCTCACACTAATTTAATTAAGCTAAAAACTGAGGAATAACAAAACTTTTGAGTCGTTTACTCAGTTTTCCAAATTTCATTGTATAAATAAATAAGACAAGCATTTCTACAAATACTTATTAGTTTAGGCGAGCAAATTGTTTGATATTTTGAGTAGTAACTGTATTCGTGTTACACTATGTTGTTTGTTTAGCTGTAATTCTAGGTAGAAATGCTTGAGTTTCATGAGAAACACAGTCAATGAACATATTCAGTGTAAATAATGCGAACTGAGATGGAATATTATTCATTAATAGCGCAATAGTTATGTTAGTGGTTATGTAGTTAGTATGGTACCTTTTAAATTATTATCTGAAATGTATTGAATTAAAAAAATACTGATAATTCATTAAGAACAAAAGGTAGCATTATCACGTATAGCAAGACGAAACTTAACACATTTGGATCTTATTATATAAATGACAATAATCAGAAACTGATTTCAAGGTTAATATTTCAAGTTATCCAACACCTTGTAACCTGTAATAAATCTTGACCAGACTCATCTGTACGACTGTGTATATTCAAGGAGAATAACAAAGCTATTTCTTGCGACTTTTAAATATATTCTTTACAGAATTATCGAGTAACTCACTAATTTCTTTGATATGGTTAGCAATGTTATTCAGTTGAAAGGACAAATTTTTCCTTCAACTGCCATGAATTCTATCACATGTTTTGCAACTTATATAGTCAGTTTTCATTTGAATCGTTTGTTCTTGCATATCAACAGAAACATCTAGTTGTACCAGAATGTCAAATAACTCACCAATTGTTTAATAAAAATTTACAAGTAAGTTGATAGAGCTGTATTACCTTTGCGATCAGATATTAGTAAAATCATGATAACCATAATCTGTTAATTTATAACAGTTTGTCACCTAGATTTAAAATCATGTAGTTTATGAAATCATACAGCTGAGGGGATTTCTTGAGTGTGTTACATATAAAGCATTGAACTAGATTACTGATAAAAGACTAACTAGTCCATGGTAAATTACCGCCTAATTGTTTAGTTTTTTGGTTGAGCTCATAAGTCAATGAATGTTAGACCACCAATGAGAACCTGTAAGCACTGGGCGCCCGTTTCGTCCTAGTACAGGATTCTTCAACAGTGTGAACCCATAGTCCCCCACACGTAATTCGAACCCAGGACATCCAGTCTCGTACACGGACGCCTAACTTCTAGACCACTGAGCCGGCAACCAACGGTATTAGTGTTTAGCTTTAATCGATGGCGTGATCATCTTCTCTTTTCCGAAGTAGATATTTGTCTCTACCTGATAGAATGTTCTGGTTTCAAATATCATGTAAGGGGTCGTAGATGCGCACATCTGAGGCGTCACATACTAAGACAAAACGGTCATCTAGTGATTCCAGGTTTTGAATAATGGTCTAACATTCATCGATTTATGATCTCAATAAAAAAAACCCAAATAGTTTAGAAACTTAAGTGAAATTCTTCATAATCTCAACTATCAGTTTAGTAATGATGAAATATCCTTCAAACTGAATGATTCCTTTCATATTTCTCAAGTGACTAACACACTGATTTTATTTCGTATAACCCTGAACTTAAATGTAGGCAGCTTCTGATAAATTTTAAAGTTCATATATGATAATCAAAATAAAAAATTTCAAATTAACCATAATTTAACACTAGAACCAGTGTTCATTCTCCTATTTTACAACTTTTCTTGATAACAAAAATACCCAATGATAAACAACATTTAAGGAGTTCTTGTAAAAACAAATTTTAAAAAAACTGTCAGTACTTTTTATATGAGATGGAAATTGAAAATTGTCAATATGATACTGAATCTAAAGATGGATAATGGCTGGCAGTGGAACCCAGGACGCGTGTTTCGTTCTGTTCGGGACTCGCCAGCTGGATGTACTTGCATCTCTGAGACTCTAATCCAGTACCTTTTGCTTCCAACGCCATCACATTGTCCACGTATCTACTGAGTCTTGATACGCACACATGCTGATAAGAGACTGATCAATTGCAGTCCTAAACATCAATGTGAAAATTCAAGTAAACAATACCAAGTGAATTTGATACTGAATCTGTTTTGAAAGTTCAAATTAATCGCTAACACCTGTTAAAACAACACTGATTCACAAAATGATCCATCTTAGATATATATTTTCATTTGTTTATTTAAATAACTTTTTTGAAATTTATTTCATTGTCTTTTTTTTAGGAGAAATTCAATGCAGCTAATTTAATCGTTTGACTTCCACAAATCACTTTTTTGATTGATCAATTTTTTTCGAAATTCATGATTATGCTTCATAATCCGTTAATATTTACTTTTTTAAATCAAATGTTATTTTCCTTTACCTTTGCTCAACACTCACCGAATAGTTTAATAAATGAAGAATGTAACTTGAACAAAAATATGACATTGAGAAATAATAGTTTAGAAACAGAAATACAACATTTATTATCCACTTATGTTCGTACTGAACGACCTAGAAATTTACAAATGATTAAAACAAACAATAATTCACAAGAGTCAATTAATTATGTCACATACAATGGACCATTAATTGTAGAAGTTAATACATTTATACATAGTTTCAGTTCAATTAGTGTAGTTAATATGGATTTTACAGTTGATTTTATGTTGCGTCAGAGATGGTTAGATACAAGACTGAAATTTTCTTCTGGCTATAACTTTACTCAATTGCCAATTTCCTATGCCAAAAATCAAATATGGATCCCGGATTTGTTTTTTCGTAATGCTAAACATGGATTTTTACATGACATGACCACACCAAACTATTTAATTTGGCTTGATTCGAATGGTTTGATAACATTCAGTCAGAAAATATCGATGAAATTATCATGTCATATGACTTTACATACATTTCCGTTTGATTCACAACACTGTACAATCAATATCGGTAGTTATGGATATTCAAAAAGTGATTTAGAATTTCGTTGGTGGAATACAGATGGATATGATCAGTTTGGTCTAATACCTACGGCAAATCAATCAAGATCTATGGCTGTACAAATACGGTCTGGATTAGAAATTAATGAATTCGATTTATTATCTTATGATACAAGCTATTGCAAAATGGAATACTCTACTACTGGTCGATTCTCTTGTATTGAAGCTGTATTTCATTTAAAGAGACGATTCGGTTTTTACCTTATTTATGCTTATCTACCTTCTCTTCTTCTGGTTGTTATTGCATGGTTGTCATTTTTTGTAGATTATGAAGCTGTACCAGCTCGTATTTCCATTGGACTTTTGTGTGTTTTAGCTTTAATCACACAAAGTGCAGCTATACTAACTCAAGTACCACGAGTTTCATATATTAAAGGAATCGATATTTGGCTATTTGTATGTTTAGCGTTTGTTGTTAGCTCATTACTTGAATTTGCTATTGCAAATTCATTAGCCAGACGAAGATCGAAATCAGGTAGCTTAAATCCAATAAATCATATCAGTAACGACTGTATAGTTTTAACAACATCTGATGAACTGTTAGACTTTCTTCAAAAATACATTAATAAATTAAAAAATAATGACGACCAATCTGATGAAAAAACATTAGGAAATAATAACGACTCATGTAAAACTCACACAAATATTTCCTCAACAAGTACACCGATAAAATCAATGATTCGAAATTTTGATCCATTATCAAATAAACAAAAAAGGATTATATTCTGTGATGGTAGTCATCAAGTAATAAAACGTAAACATCATGATAAATCGTTTTTATTAGATCGTATATGGTCTATTATTTATCCTATAGTATTTGCTATATTCAATGGAGTTTATTGGATATATTTTCTTAAATATCAATAAATGGTACTTCTATTAAAATAAATTGAACATTTATGGTACATTTTACATTAATTAGATTTGATTACATTAAACGAATATCCTCCCTCTTCATTCACTATATTGTTAACATATGCATATTTGATCATATTATTCTGATCATAATTATTTTGTTAAAATCGATTTTCTTTATTCTTTAAGTTTATACATAATTGTTCATTTCGAAAGTAATAATACTGGTAAGACTATAATTTATGGACGAACCAATCAGATATAAGATAACGAGTCATGAATTTTGGCGCGAAATCCATTCATACATTTGGTTAAATTGAGTTTTGGCATTATAGCTGATATCAGTTCGTGATAAAAACCCTAAATCTAATTTTTAACCCTAACCATCAATTGTAAATGAGAATTCTAACTTTTATAACCCTCATTTAGTTCTAATTATTAGTTGTTCACTCTTGAGGTCACTTTACCGTCGCTCTATAAATTATAGTCTTACCATAATACTTTATCAAGTATTTGTAAATATCTTTTAACATTATCGGGGGATTAATTTAACAAATTTGAAAATTATGTAACTATTACGGATAAATTTAGTTTATTTATGTCATTTAATTTATTTGAAAAATTATTGGTAATAAATATACAATAATAAATTTGGTTTGTTTACAAATCACAACAATGTTACATTAAATATTGATAAATGTTTAAGAGAGAAAGCATTAACTACACTTAACTCTCTGTATATCTTACCAGAGATATAATTATTACAATAACATTTGATTGTATTAGAGAAATATAGTTTCACTATTTCTAATGTGAATAAACAAACTTGGAAATAAGAATTCTTTTCTGATGTTATATAAACATATTTTCAATTCAATGAAGCTTTATCAAATCTTGATGAGCTGTCATGACAACTACCAACTAAAAGTAAACCAATGTTGAGGGTTTCCCAACAGTTACCTACAACCATCTAACATCTCAGACACGCGAAATAATGATCATGAATTTACATTTTATGTATGGAATATATTTTCTTTTTGCCAGTATAGGGTTGTGGAGATTATTAAGTTTTTAATTGATTTCATGAATGGATGAATGTAGATCACTATTGAAAACCTGGAGGCACTGGACAGGCATTTCGTTCGATCGTGGGACTTCTGATGTGGGATTCGAACCCAGGGCCTCGAGAACGCTTGATTTGTAAGTGAATGACTTTAAAATGGTGGTTCTGTTTCATGAACTTGAAGTTATTTAATAAAAAAATAAGTTAGATATCATATCTTGTGTAAACAGTGATAATGGTGACAAGACTTTAAACTCTAAATCTTTTTCTTATTTTACCAATATTTTTTATTTGGTTGTAACTTCGATAGCTATTAGAAGTTTGTTGATAAACTAATCATCCTGACAATTAACTACTTAAGTAATGTATCACAGGCAAATAGTACAAGAATCGATCACAATACGTTAGGATTTTGGTTGGATTTAATCAAGAGAAAGCCATATACTTATGTTCCTTCCAAGTTGACATTCATCAGCATGATGGATTTCTAATTTTAAGGAAAAATAATGTTAGTCATGAGTTTGATCAGCATCGTTGATTGTTACAGATAAAGAAATAAACGTTGGGCTATTCAGGAAGAGCCTGACCTACTTCAGAACTGAACGATTTATTATGTTTGTTAAGTGAGGAAAATGTAATATCGTTTCGGCTGATATTTAATGCATGTGATGTTGAGTTATTTAGACTTTTGGGGATATTAGAAGTTTTTATATCGAGTATTAAAGACAGTTTACAGAAAACACTGACTCTCTGTATTTTGGTGTTTGGCAGCAATTAAAGAACTTTAAATCTATACACTGTAACAATTTGATCATGAATAATGCTGTATAAAATATTTCATTACTGGAAACAACTTGTAGTACATACTCTACATTAAATGTACAACAGATCCGATCCAAATCTATTGTCAGTTTCTCTTGTAAACGTCATTTCAATCTAAAAAAACATATAATTCCACCGTTTTATAACATTATTTGAAATAACCGTCTGGCTCTAATTGTTAACAGTAATAAAAATGAAAACATGGAAAGGTACTAAGATGTAAAATATCTATCAAGTAAGGAAATAAATGTATTCTAACTAACTGTTTTGTTAAAGCATCACAGAAAAAATATCTGATTGTCCTTTTAACAGTTACACTAATTCTCATGTTTACATTTAAAAATGCATACGATAAAATTAATCTCTAACTCCCTCAAAATTAACTGTAGTACGTGTATACAAAAATAGCAACCGCGACCATACTTCTTAATCTGTTTAATCAATACAACTAACGTCCGTGAATATTAACATACGTAACAACTATAAAATTGAATATAATATTGTATTACCTACATACTAGATTATAATAATTAACCAGAGATTAAACCAACTAATTATCGATTTAATAAATTTTATTCAAAATTATTTCATTTACTTAATGAACTAAATATATACAGCTTTATCTCAATAATGATTACATTTGTTTTCTTAAAAAGTTGATGATGTCACTGAGTTGGCTATTGAAACTTATACAATCTAAAACATTTATGTTATCTTAAACAAATATGGTTGACTTTGCTAACCAATGGATTATTTCATCTGACTAAACAACACGTTTGTTTGCTATGTTCCCATTATGTACATTAAATAACAACCTATCAAGTTCAAGAAAACGTACTTTACCATTAAATTTAAAGTAGTACAAAGAAAAACGTAATAATTTTAGTAGTTGAGATCATGAGTCAATTGAAGCTAGACGACTATGGAAAACCTGGAATCACTGGATGGCCGTTTCGTCCCATTGTGGGACTCGTCAGCTTTAATGATAAATTAGCACGTTTGAGTTTTAATGTGAGAACATTAATTGATAAGGTCAAATTGACTTAATAATATGTAAACATAGTTAAAATTTTTCTTATTAGTTTGAAGCAGAAATTACTTAAAATAGGGAAGTTGTCAATAGTCATATTATTTAAACAGTAAATAATTGTTGCAAGTTGAAAAAAAACTATTCAACAATTCATACTTACTGTTTATTGATATCATTTGAAATACAATTTATATTACTGAAACAAATAAGTATCATTCTAATGTCGATTAAAATATTAAAATTACAAAATTACAGTACACCTTAAAAAAATAGAACTTCTATATACAACAATTTGACAGAAGTAATTTTGGTCTAAATTGAAGAAATCTAATAAACCTGTATATGGAAATAGTCGATTTATTTATACGAATATCAGCATTTCAAAATAATTAATCGTATACTAGAATAGATTTCAACTATCTAGTATGATGGGATTCAATGAATCCGAAAAGTCAAGCATTTTGATATTTAAAAAACAAAAAAAGAACATTCTGAGGGTAATATTGATTTTTCAATGATCATTAAATATTGTAATTTAAAAAATGTAGAAGAAAAAAAAACAAAAATTAAATTGTAACTAATACAATTCTCTTGGTATTGTTTGCTTGAATCTTCCCACTAAGGTTTAAGACTGGAATTGATCAGTCTGTTATTAGCATATGTAACTAATACATTTAATATATCAATGGATTATTTAGTTATAACCGTATTTGCATTTGTTATACTCATCTAATTATATGATCAAATTTTTGAATGTCCTCTAAAATTAATAAAAACAAGTGATTTCATTGAATTAGTTTTTTTTTTCAATGATATGTCAAATAGTGAGTTTAATTGTTTTGCGTTTTCCTCTCCTAAGGAAATAATAGGAAATAAATAGTTGTATCGTAAGCTTGATAAACTCAAATAGCTACCTATGAGCGATCAAAAGAAGGAGCATTCTAATATAAAATAACAAAACAAACGATTTCATCTTTTTTAAACAAATATTTCATTCAAACATATTGTGTGTCTAACTCCGGTAGATATGAATCCATGCTAATTCCGAATATATCAAAGATGATCAACATTCATTTGTGTAAATCGATGTAGGAATTAAAATTTAAAAACATCTTACATATATTTAAAATTTATTTTACATTTGCGTGATCTAAGTGTCAGACTAAATATTTCCATTTAGTAGGTCATCTAAAGAAGTTTATTGTAAAACTTAATTTATTACCCATCAGACAGAAGATTGTTTTTCTTTTTAATATTTTAAAATATAAACGACATATGATTTATAAATGTCCCATTGATAGTAGAAAGTTATATTTCATGTTTAGACTAGAGTTAGTCTCATATTCATATTTCTTTCGTACTGGTACACACATTATTAAAACTATGAATAACGAGGACTAGATTTACCGAGACATTATATGATTTTGTCTTTCTCAGTTATAGAAAAAATGTTCTTTGATAAAACCGATCTTTTGAAGTTCAAGAATAAAGTGTTCTTTTTATTAAAATCTTAGTAGAAAAGTAACTTTGGAGCGTGTTTTTTTCTCAAATTATATTCTTTGATATATTCTGATTATAATAAATAAAAATCTGTTTATTCAATAAGTGATACTTAGATTTAAAATAAAACATTGTGCGTTTTTCAAATAACTTAAATTTTCTAGAAAATTAAAAAATTGATCCAACAAATTTCACCAGTAATTTGATCTGTATTTCAAACAGATTTTAGTATAATAGTTTATCATCTGATTATTCTATATTTTTATTTCTTATAAAAGTTAGGTAGCTGGAGGTAATCGACAGAAAACCTTGAATTTAGGTTCCGTGTAAATTGGTCAATGGAATTCAATATTTAATAGAAAGGATTCAATAAATATGGTACTGATCACTACTCATTTAGTTAGCCAATTTTATGGCTGGATATAATCTCTACGTTTTAAGTCATCTAAGAATATTTTAGTCAGTAATTAAAGTCATGTTTTCGTCTATTTACTCACTTATATATATTTTGGAATAATTCCTATTGTGGAATTAATTGGAAGTATGTCTTTTGCTATGCTGCAATTTTTCTTCCATAGTGAATGACCGTACGATGGACACTTATATTTGAGAAAAAAATGTTTACTGAAGTTTTTTCTAAGAAAACTTTATACATTTCTGTATTCGATGAAGATATGATGCAGATTTAAGATACACTAATTTAAATAGATTAATATAATTCTTCTTAAAACTATCTAATATGATTGATTATGTATGACATTGATTGTTATTCATGCTACTGGTACCATTTGCCTTGACTACTTGAAGTTTATTATACTGAGTAACTAGAGCTAAATATATTCAAAGAGATGTATGTTTATATAAAATTTAATTTATTAAAGTTATTTTAGTCGTCAATATTCAACAAATTTATTTATATTAGAATATTATAGTAATTTCAATAGTTGAAATCATAAGTCAATTGAAGCTAGACCACCATAGAAAACCTGGAAGCACTGGATGGATTTTGTATTTCTATCTTTATTTTGTGTTTGCTACATTCAAAATAAAACTAAAGTGAAAATCATATAGATATTTCGGAATCGAAATAAATCACAGTAGGTTATAGAAATAAAAATTCAAAGATAACTGGATCCTAGAGGTAACAAACTATAAACTAATGAGTCAGAATAATCTGAATGTATTCTATTTTGTAGTTTATCATCAGTTGCTTACACATGTATATTTATCAGAGTGTAACATTCGGGTTTAATATAATTTGAAGCAATTGACATTGATGATGGACAGAGTTAGGATAACAAAGATTATCAGTAATAACTATATATATATATATAT